GCCAGTCAGTATTTACTGAGTGTCCAGGTATTGTGATGCACACTGTTTGATGGTGCTGTGTGGCATGCGGAGGCCATGTGGGGACTCAAGTTTGATTCCAAGCCCACCCAAAAGTCGGGCATGGTAGTGCACTCCTGTTGTAACAGATACTTGGGAGGCTGAAGCAGGAGGAGCACAACATGGCAAGATCCTATCTACAAAAAAATGTAAAAACTACTCAATACTGACCCTCTGGTAAACCATGTGAGAGTGTAGAGACGTCTAATGGGCATGCTCCAATCAGACAGGATGAGTGTCCGTGTCATAAGCAGCATCTTTCCCTCCCCTTGGGATTCCCCGGCAGTGACTAGAATGTCTTTTCAGTGTGGGTCTCCATTACTGTTCATCCACTGAGGTTGAGCTGGTTTCTGAAGGCCAATGTGGCCAGCAACGAGGACGAATGCAGTGTTCACAGGAAACATCCACTTAATAAACTCCCTTTTGGTTTAATAGAGTATTACACACACAGGCTGTACAGAGATCTCAAAGCAATCGTCAACTCATGTTAGGACTCCTTCCTCATTGCTTCCTTCTCCTACCCTCCTGTCCATCTGTCCATTATTCCCCCAGAAGTAGTCACTGTATTTATTATATTCATGCCAGACATTGAACATATAATGTAGAAAAAAAAATGGTTCCTGATCATAAGTTTAGAGTTCAGTGGGAGAGATAAATCCTAAGGAGGCATGAAGGTCTCTTGAGTACAGAGAAAACAAAACAAAACGGAACATTTGTTTGTCGCTTTTGCCAACTCCCATGGTGTAAATACCATCACTGTGACCAATTTCAAACTACCAGTGTGATGTCTCTGAGCACAGATTTGGGAAAAGATAGAAATGTGAGCAGTAGCACACGTTTTGTAGTATTCTTCCCACAGAACTGTAATAGATGTAATTTATTTAAGAACATAAATAATAGCAAAATAATTTGGAAGTGGTGAGTTTCGAGTATTTATGACCTTTGTTTTAATGCAAGTTATTTAGCTGTGAGTTTATGTAATTTAAATAAAAAAAAACAAAAACAAAAACAAAAAACCTTTTTGCTAGAGAGTGCATGTGCTTGCCAGAGAGAGATAGTGAGAGGTGGGGGGAGTGAGAAAGCATCCCTGATGGGGATGGTCACACTGAAATCCCTTCTCCTCCATTTCTCCTTTTGGGTTGTCGGGCATACATGCACATGTGCCTGGAGTATTTTTCAAGCCACTGGGTCTGGAACTCGAACTGCAGAGTTGCCCACGTGGGATCCAGCTGCTTTGATAGCCATGCCACTGGCTGGCTCTGTAATTTAATTTTAATAACAACTGTGTCTAACAATTGAATTTCAAAGTTGCCTACGAAATTAAAATTTAATAATTAGTCTTAATGACTAAGTTTGCTTCAGCATGTGCTGCACCAGGTAGAGCATACCATGTGTCATATGTTTAAAACCAGATGTTACCTCCCACCAGTCTATGGGCTGTGACTCCTTCATCTTTATGTCCTCAGACCCTCTCTGCACAGAGCACACAGTGGCACTAATTCATTGACTTAGAGGATTTGTGCATGAAGGTCTTTTATTTTGAACATTATTTAAGCCCTAGATTTAACTTTTGTTTTTGTTCAGGATAGAAAACAGATGAACATATACATGATCAGATGGTCTCTTTGTGACGCCTTTGTACAAATAATACATGTTACAGATGCTTATGGTCTTGAGTCATTAGCATAACATATGTTCCTGCTCAAAAATGGCAAATGGGGGTCTGTTCTAAAAAGCTCGTGCCTCCGCGTTAGCATCCTCACTCCAGGCTCAGGGTCTGATTGTGGTGGATGCATAAACTCTTATGTGCCAAAGGATGTGTTTGGATGCTAAGTGCTGTTGCCTGACCCAGAACTGGTGGAAGTGCTTCTCTCATGGTCGTGATCACGTTGCGTCCTCCCCATCACCAGGGACATCGTATGCATCTCACTGTGACAGATACAATGCCCCCTCCCAGGTCAGAGCTCAGGATCTGGAACAAATCCCTGCCATTTCAATGCAGAAATGAAGGAGGCACAGGCTTGACCCCAGGAAGGGGATGCTGCAGCTGAGAAGGAAAGAGCGTGCTCTGGGCAACTGAAAGGAAGCAGCAGAAGGGTGGCTACTGGGAGCCTCAGGACACCCAGCAGCTCAAGGAGGATGAGTGGAGTGGAGAGACATGAGCCCAGCTAGGGGGGGGAAGGTGAGAGAGAGGCAGAGAGACAGAAGGAGAGAACTAATGGAGAAAAGAGAAAGCAAACAAATGAAGGGAAAACAAAACAAACCAAAAACCAACTGATGGAGAGAGGAAGATAGGGGAAGTGGGCTTTGGAGGGACTAAGAGGGTAAGGCCATCTCCAAGCCACCAAGCCTCCAAGGCTGCACGGGGTCGGGGGGTCTCCCTTGTGCTCATCCTGTGTGCTCCACAAATACTAGCCAGCTGCTGAGTGGGCTTGCTTACCTATTAGAACCCCAAGTCTCTGTCCATGGGCTGCTTTTGCTCTGGGGAGCAGAGCACCAAGCCTGAGGGTGAGGAAGAGAGAGGTCCCCTGAGCAGGCACCCTCAGTTGTACCCCTTATTCCCTCAATTGTGCCCCCGGCACCACCCACCTGGACACTTCATTTGGGGACAAGGAGCGGAGTGAATGGAAAGAGATGGTGTAACTGCTGAGTTCTAACCCGCCTGGCACTTGTATTTCCTGGACAGATTCGGAGCTCTCACACCAGCTATCTGGAGCCACAGGCATTACAATGTCCTGAACGCTCAATCTCTTTTTCAGAAGGAGTCTAGAATCATTCTCAGTCCTGGACACTGATCCCTGGAGGGGTGCAATATGGACTTTTGTTTCTCAAGATTTGATTTCAAAGAGAAAAATCTAATTTTTGAGCTCTACATTCCCATCGACAGATCTGCCAATGACAAACCTGAGACAGGCTTTACAGCCTATGTTTAATTTATTGTCTATTGCTGGTTAGCATCCCAGAGACAACATTTCAGTTCTGTAGCATTAATTTACTTTGTTTTTCTGGGGAGTCAGAGAGTTAATTTGGAAACCCAGTGCTATCTTAGGGCACCAAGAGGATTTCGGTTAAAGTGAAAATTGCTGCATTGCTTTTCACTTCATGAATAGCTGAAAACATTACAAAGGAGGAATACATTTTCTTCTGAAGGATGAGCTATTTGACGACTGTGGGCTCTTTCCTTTGATACAGAAATCAGTGCTTTGATTTATTGTCATTAGGCCGACTCGTTGCTCTGCCGAGCCAGGGGCAATCAAAGCCACGGAAGTAAATGGCGCTATTTTTCCTGTAGCCATTGGGTAATTTCCCATGAGAATCAGGAATCACTGTTTCAGGGACGATGTTTCATCTGCCCTGGAAACCTCACAGAGGCGGCCACAATGTGGCAGCAGCACCTGGGGCAGAGGTAGGAGAAGGCCATCCTGGGCTGCTCATGGTCCCCTCCACCTCTGCTTCCCAACACTGCCAGGTGTCCTCACCTCTGACCTTGAGGGACTTCCCTCTCCTTCACCCTCAGGCTTGGAACTCTGCCAGGAGTGACAGCAGCCAGTGGATTCATTATTTGGGTTATAATAGGTAAATGAAATCATTCAGTGTTCAGCAAGTATTTGTGGAGCACACAAGACAGGCCCAGTGGGGACACAGTCTGTGCTTCATGGGGCTTCATCTGTTAGAGGAGCCCTGGCATGGCTACATTTCAACTGGAGATGATCAAGGATGGCTTTTTCCACTCTCAGCCTTTTGTGGTAGTGGGGCGCTGAGGCTCTTGGGGGTATAGGATGCTTCCTGCCTCAGAATGCAATTACCTCACATGCCACTGGCTTTCCTGAAACCCTTGGGTTTCAATTTCCCTCTCTCCTCAGCCTCTTTTCTTACATCCCATGAGACCAGCTTTCTCATCTCCTGACTAGTGTCACCCACAATAATGACCATATAGAGAGTCTTAGGAGCAGCGTTGTGATTAGACTTTGGAGGTAAGGACTTGGGAACCCATTTACAAAGAATGTGCTATTTTTATTTAGGTTATAGATTACAGATGAACGTATTTATCACTTTTCAAAAGATATTCTGGTTCATTCTTAACCTAGGTTTTCTATGATGCTTTATTATTATTATTGTCAAGGGTGACTTTGGGACGTTTATGGCTCTTTCAGGTAGATGCTCATGCTGTGTGGTCCTCTCTGTGAAGTGTGCCCCATGGCTCTTTCCAAATACAGTTATGGAAACGTTCCCTCAGTGGGGATGGTACCTCTTGGGGCATCAGAACGAGCTCAGACTCGAGGTTGTTTGTCCATCATGAGACCAGCAGACACTGTGAGGGGGTTAAGATGCCCTTTTACAAATTCCTCCTTCTCCTTCTCTCTGTAGAGTTGAGGCCCCCCTCTCTGAGACCTCTACATGGAAGCTTTTGAACCTTCTTCTAAAAGGACATACATTACAGAATGGGAAGGGAATGATGTTTCACCCAAATGACATCAGAGGGCCATGTTTTTCCTTGAAACTGTGGGTTTTACTGAAAGGTAAATGCTCTAGGAAGAGGAGCCCTCCTCCCCTGCCACATTCGGATGTTGAGAAGGCAGGGGGAACAGAATGGTTGGGAGTCACCTGGCCAGAGGTACCTGGAAACAGGGTGACTCAGGGTGAGGCTAGTCCAGTTCTGACAAAATTGGGTCTACAGGACCTAGACAGGGGTTCTGCTTGTTTGTTTGCAGTAGCAACTTGAAAATGTCAGTTATTTGTTTCCTCTAGCACATCTGCCTCAAGATTTGGAACTACAGATATGAAAATGGCTGCTGAAAAGAGGATTCATGCTTGTGGCACATGACTCCTGGCAGAACCTACTGTGTTTCTCTGATCTCACTCAAATCTGGGATGTGGATCTGTTAGGTTTTGCCAACCCCACCATCAACTGAAGCCAATTACAGGGGAAGGTGAAGGCCTACCTGGCAATCTTGTCTGTGCAGGACATGGTGATCAGCTGCTCCCCCAGTAAGACGCCATCCCAGGTCTGCACCGCACTGGGACCCCGGACAGGGACCGTCCCTTCCCCAGACTCAATCTTGGTGCGTAGGTGCCCACGGAACTTCCTGACGATGTGCTTGGTGCTGTTCACTAGGAAAGAAGAGGTGCATGAGAGGCAGTAGGCACTTGTCCAGGAGATGAGGAAAGAGGGAGTGTGACAGGAACTGTATCAGGGGCCTGGGCACCTGGCCAGGGGGCTGTGCATGGGTGGGAATTTCCTCACTTCTACAGTCTGTTTGAACTGCACTCTACAGCGGCACTGCCCAGCCAGGGGTTCACTTTCCTGTGAGGGCCAAAGAGTGAACATCTCAGACCTTGCAGCCATACTGACTCTGCCAAGTGCAAAGGCAGCCTTAGGCAACAGGTGAAAGAATGAATTGGCTGTGGTCCCCTGATACTTGATTGAGAAAGATTTTTGCTATAGGGTGTGCATGCTTTCCAGAGAGACAGAGAGAGACAGAAAGACAGAGAGAACTCACCCCCCTATGGGGGATAGCCAGGCTGCAATCCCTTCTACATTCTCATCTCGGGATTTTGGGCACACACGCACATGTACCCAGTGTAGGTTTTAAGCCACTGGGTCTGGGACTCGAACCAGGTGACTATGTGGGAGTTGAGCGATGTAACTATTATGCTACCTGCTGGTCTGACAGACACTGAAATTGGAACGTGTAATTGGACATACAATTTTCACATGATATGAACTATTATTCTCTTTACTTTCCCCAGCCTTTAAACAATTTAGAGACCATCCTTTGTTTGCAAGTGTTAAAGAGACAGGGAGTAGTGGGATTTATCTCTCACCTGATTTTATTTATTTATTTATTTATTTATTTATTTATTTATTTATTCGTTTCATTTTCTTCCATACATTCAATCACATTATTATTTATCTTACAAAAATGGATATTTCAGCAGTCTCACCTGATTTAAATCTTAGCTCTGTGTACTAGCTGTATAACCTTGGAAAAGTTATTTGAAATCATGGCGACATAGTTACTTCCTCCTAAAACACAGATAATAATAGCACTTACTTCTTAGGTTGTGTGAACTACATGAGAGAGCACATGTACAAGTTCTGGATATAGCCAAGAGCACTCAACACTCATTAAGTTTCTCTTATTACTGAGGGTCTACCTGGGGCAGGCATTCTGTGAGACCCAGAAATGATGCAGCCTGTCGGTGGGTCCCTGAATTCTGTATTTTCCTTTCCAAAGCCGGGTCAACATATACCACCCTGCACACCCCACAGTTACTTGGAGAATTAGCATAAATAAGACTTGACAGTTAAGCTTATTTTTTTTCTTTCCTCATAAACATTCTGAATTTCAGTCTAGATAATATTGTTAAATAGAAATGGCTAACTGCTTTACATACAAATTATATATAAAATTGCATAGGGATTCCAACATTTATATGATGACATAAATGAATATTAAATAATTTCCTTTAAAGGTTTGGTAATCATGCTGGAAAAAGAAATTTAATATGCTGTAAAGATACATGTGATGAAATGTAATAAAAAATATAATAATAAAACAAAAAATAAAAAAGTTTTAGTTTATGCTTTATAAGTTGTGGAAATGAAATGTCCCTCTTATTACCTTCACTGAAGGTGTCGAGTAGTAAATAACACATGATTTTACATGGGAACTTTATCCTATAGAACTCAAAGTGATTTCCAGCATACTTTCTCCTTGTTTCTAAAAGCTGAGTTTTTTTTTTTTTTTTTTTTTTTTTTACTATATACTGGTAGTACTTAAGAGCTACATCTTAGAAAGAGCTATTGCTGTGCTCTTTGGAGAAAGTCAACTTTTGAGAGATTTCAGAGGGGATTTTCTTAATCATTACTTCTACACAACTGACTTATCATGAAATAGACTTTATAATCTGAGAATGGTTTGACGACAGGCCTGGAACAAATTAACAATTGGTTTCCAGGGGTTAATGTCAACATTTTCAGGCTTGATGAATTTTGCTTGAAGAGCCAGGTGCATGAGCTGCTCTGAGAGTATTTATTTTTGGAGGTGTTACGTCTTGGGCTGCCTTCTCTAGCATGTTCCCTGATGAGCTGATCAGTCCCAGGATGAGGCTGAGTACTGGTGATCTTGTGGAGCCCATTTCCTCTGCCTCTTTCTTGGCTAATTGCAAGAAGCAGGAGGGAGTTGAAGATGCCACTTCAAGCAGAACGACACGCCAATCCAACCAGCAATTGCAGGGAACTGAACTTAAATAATTTGCAGTGGATTTATAGTGTGACTGAGACACGGGAAGTATGAAACATTCAACTCCTACCTGCTGTGTATGCATAAATACTCCCAAATCCATCAGAACATTCTAGTCCAATGCTGATAGTCCAAATTATCAGAAATTTTTAGAAGTGTTTATTAATCTAAAACTTGTACCTTTTGAGATTAATGCCAAGGTAAAGTGAGGGTAGTAATATGCTTTCAAAAATGGTTCAAGTACAATATTTTAATTTTAGGGGAGAGGAGATAAATAACAATCAAAGGAGTCTGTTCCCTTAGGAGCTAAAGATTTATCTAAAAAGTGACGCATGGTTGCTAAAATGATGTAGGGGAGAGGAGCCAAAAATGAAAGATAAAAGGTAAAGGAAGGAGGAATTTCTTAATTTTTAGTTTTAGATTTTTTGCAATAGGGTATATACACTTGTCAGAGAGAAACAGTGAGAGGGAAAGTGAAAAATCATCCCCAGTGGGTATAGCCATGCTGCAATCCCTTCTCCTCCCTTCTCCTCATGGGACCTTAGGCATGCATGTACATGTGCCCGGTATCATTTTCAAGCTGCTGGGTCTGGGACTCTAACGGTGGTGAGACATGTGAGAGTCCAGTGCCTTAGCCATTATGCCATCTGCTGGCCCCAGAAGAAAATATTTTAAAATATCAAATAAAGTTTACATTTTCAAACTGTCTTCAAAAGTTACATCCCAGGAGATATACTTATGAAATAATCCATTATTTATTATAATAATCGTATATACAATATTTACCATGTGTTCCTGTGGATGACCTTTTGTTTACGTGATGATGGTGGTGATGATGTTATACTATGAGGGATTTAAAATGAATTATTCTACAGTGCAAGGATATTATCATATAGTGTATGTTTCTGCAACTCAGTAAGAAACTCTAAATACGGGAATTTAAAGAATTTTAGATTCCCTGACTTTCTGTGGAGTTTTGGTTCAACCTCTCAAGCTGCCCTCTATACAATGAATGGAATTGGCTTAAAACAAACATACTAGGCACCTTGCATAAACGTGTAGATAAGGATATGGCACAATCCTGCTCTTTTTCTTGGCATCTTATGGGAGATAGATTGGAGATTTAGTTTTATTTATTTAATTTGTTGTAGAGCACACACCCTCACCAGAGAGAGGGAGAGAGAGAGAGAAAAAGTTAGAAAACACTCCCCATGGGGAATAGCCACGCTGCAATCTCTTTTCTTCCATTCTTTTCTCAGGAGTTTGGGCATGTAAGCAAGTACATGTGCCTGGCATGTTTTTCAAGTCAGCCAGCTATGTGGGATTCAGCCACTCTAACCACCATACCACTGGCTGGTCCAAGATTAGAGAATTTAACTAAGCTGTTAAATTTTTGGAAAATGGTGATAAGAACAGAATTTACCATGTGATTTTTTTTAAAAAAAGACTATGAAAGAAAGAGAAATTTTCAGTAAGACCATGATGAATTGAGAAGAGGACAAAAGTTGCTCTGACACATTGACACACCCTAGATGCTTATAATTATCTCATTTAGGTTCTTATCAGAACTGCCTTGGTTCTAGCCCAGGCATCCCAGGGCTACTGAGGAAATGGAATTGCCCTCCATGAACCTTGTTCCTCCATGATGGAAGAACACAGAGCCTGATGAAAAGTCTCGCCTCTGACCTAGAGGTGTCTTCACTTTCATTAAAGTTGGCCCTTCTTGGTTCAGGAGAAAGTCACAGGGTTTGGTAGTGTTGAGTTACTTGAGATGATTGGAGTTCGGAAGCAACTTTTCCCTGTAGTTGATCCTATACTGCAGATCAGGGAGCCCTACCACAAATTCTTCCTGGCCCTTGTGATAACTCTGCAGGACCATCCTCTCCTTGAAGACTGTCTTGCTCATCTAGCAAGAACATAAATGCCCAATTTGTACAGGAAGCAATAAAAGAAGATTCAAATTCAGTGCCTTGAAAGAACTCTGATCCTCTGAAAACCGAAGATCCTTGGATCCATTCCATCCCTCATACATCACACTCTTGGCCAGGGAATGTGTACCAGGAACCTGCACTTGCAACAACTTCTTAGTCACCCTGGTAGATAAGCCAGGTTTGGAAACAATCTAATCTATACATCCTTAAGCTTGCAGGCCACACACAGACTCCAAATGCCTTGGACTGATGGCATTTATGCCATATTTAAAGATTCTAAGGATGAAAAATTTATGATCTACCTAGATGGATGTTTTTGAGGAAAATAATAAAGCTGGGAAATGTAGAATTTCTTGAGCCACACGGATCTCAGAGAAGTGGGGTTCACCAGAATGCTCTTGGTGAATCATAGACTCAAGAGTCCTTGTTCCTGAGCCTCAGGTAGTTGGGATCTTTCAGGAGATTTTAACTCATGGGGCTCAGGGAAGCCATGAAGGCTTCTGGGTTGAGAACAGCTGTGAGGCCAGAGAGGTCCCGGATGGGCCGTAGTTACTCTGTAGCTGAAGGGAGTCAGAAATGTGACCCTGGAAATCTAGTCAGACTTGGTTCTCTCACTGGCCTTCTGGTTATATGACACTTTCTTCAATGATTATTTGAAATTACCTACAGCATTTTTTTGTATTATGCTCTACTCTGTGTTCTTCCATTTTTTAAAGAAGGGGGAGGAACAATCTAGGTCACCTGTCTAGGTTTCCAAATTTCTCTTTGTCTTGGTCATGTCATAGCTGTGTTTGTAGATTTGGATGCATCAGTATCTCCTCAGTGTGTGTGCACACATGTTTATGCATATGGCTTGTGTGTACACATGTGCTTATGCATATGTGCTTATATATATGTGTGTTCATGTACATTTTTGTTTGAGTGTGCACATGTGCTTAGGCATATGTGTGGGCAGAGGGTATGTATGTGCGAGAGAGAGAGCAAGGAGAACTCTGGCACAGCTGTAGGTCGATAAGGAGGTTAGTGTGCAGCAGGCTGCATGCAGAGATGCACAACAGCTCTGCAGATGAAATAGGGGGTGAGAAATAAATGGGATAATGTAATCAGGACGAAGCAGGCTAATATGCCAGTGAGAAGGGACAAGGCAATTTCCACCTGGGCTAGGAGGTGGCGAGAACCTCTACTCAACCAGGAACTCTAATCCAGGGATTCCTTTGGTATAAAAGGAGCTCCTTAGATTTCTGATGAAGATTCTGGTGGGATGGACTGTGCCTGTTTGTGCCCTGTAGTCTGAGCATAATGATAGTTACATGACCCCTGGGGAACAGTAGGCTCAGGGTCCATGGCTCTTTAGGGTCCATTTAGGAGCACAGACCTCTGCGATGGTGGAGCAGTGAGGCAGGGATTTCACAGGGTTAGTGTGTTAGGAGGAACATGGCACACAGCAGATCTCTGCAAATAGTCCTAAGGGCATTTCTCCAGCCCCTGCTGCAAAGAACCCTTCACTAGCACTTCCTTATCCAGACATAAGTCCAATTCTCTTTAGTGGTGGTTAAGGCAGCTGAATTCCCACATGGCTAACCATGGTTCAAATCCAAGACCCTGTGGCTTGAAAATCACGTTGGGCGTGCATGCATGCCTGCCTAAAATCCCAAGAGGAGAAGGGAGGAGTTGAGACTGTGACGTGGCCATTCCCCCTGGGAGCTGATTTCTCACTTTCCCTCTCACTGTCTCTCTATTTCTCTCTGCTCTGGAAAGCACACACACCCTATGTCAAAACCCTAAAAAACGAAAAACAAAGAAAAGTCCAACTCTCTTTAAAGGATAATAACAAGAAACATGGCATGTTTCTACCATGGGTGCCCCATGCCTCCATCTTTTTGTGAGGGGTACCTGGAGAATCTCTCTAAAGTGGAAATGTCAGAAGTTGTTCCTGAGTTTCTGCCTTCCTCAGGAGGCATGGGATATGCTGAACAATCTTTCTGATGACTCCTTCCAAGCAGAGGACAGCAGGGATTTGGGTTTTGTGCCCTCACTGAGTGAGGGAAAGTGGTGTGTGACTTTGGCTGACACATCCACTTTACAAGCTTGCTGAGTGTCTGCCTTCTTTCTGATCCCAGGAGAGGGAGAGTTGGGAGGAGCACCAGCCTCACTCAGAGGCATGACGCAGGTAGATGCATCTAATTTTTGCCTGGCATATTTGCAACAAAAGTGGGAAGAACGTGCTTTTTTTCCCCCTCCTACCAGCACCTGCCACTTCTTAAAATCACCATGAAATAAAAGACCTCTGTGTCTAGAAGTGAACTCCAGGGCATCTGAGAATGCATTTGTTTTTCTAAACCACTGACACTGCAAGTTGGAGCTAAGGACTGCAGAGGCCTCGGTTGGTGCCGGATGCACAGAGACATGGGAAGCCCAGAGCTATAACTGTCCCCTGGGGATACTAGTGTATCTCAGGAGTGGCTGAGGCTCTGCAATCCTCACTCAGCCCTCTCTCAGCTCCCACCAGGGATGCAGAGGACGAGGAGGAAGCTAGATAAAGTAGACTAACCCCAGCATTTCATGGAACGTTCCTTTCATAGCCTAGAGAGTTCCAAGGCCGAAAGGTAATTCCCAGTGGCTGTGTAATGGGCCCAATTTTACTATTTTATAGGGTGAGTTGTTATCATGCCAATTCAGCTCGATGCGCATTTCCAAGGAAAATGAATCAACTCCCTGCTGCTTTCCTGTCTTTCTTTCTCTTTCAAAGCTGCATGGTAAAAAGGGCTATCCTAGGTGGCCTCACCTCACCCACTTCTCCCCGAGAGAGGACTGTGCCCACTTATCACATGGGATGTCCTGATCCTTTCGCCCTCCTGGGGGGGATTCCTTTTCACATCCCTGATATTTAGTGGACTTCCTTTTCTTAATTCTCGGTTCAACTTAACTCTCCCATTTACTTTCCAAAGGGTGTGAAAATGTCACTTAGAATCCCATTATGGAAAATCCTGTAAACTGCTCTCTAAAGCAAAAATTCATGGAGTTTGAGAAAAGTCAGCAAAAGGAGAATGGATTTTTCTGGGCCTGCATTCAATCTGCGGCTTAGAGAAATACTCTATCTATATGATTTAAAAAGTATTTTTAAGGCATGGTAGTTAAGGCAGCTGGGCCTCACATGGTCAGCTGTGTGGTTTGAGTCCTAGACCTGGCAGTTTGGAAAACACACTAGGTGTACTGGGTGTATGTGTGTGTGTTTGTGTGTGTCCCAAGTCCAGAAACAAGGAAGAAATGGAGGAGAAGGGATTGTGGTGACCATCCTCCATTGGGGTGATTTCTCTATTTCCCTCTCACTTTGTCTCTCTCTCATCCCTGGGGGGATGACCACACCTCAATCCCTTCTCCATTCTCCTCTCAGGATCATGGGCACACACATCCATGCTCCTGGTGTGATTTTCAAGTCACCAAGTCTGGGACCTGAACCATGGTTGGCCATGTGGGAATCCAGCAATGTAATTGCCATCTGCTGGTCCCTCCAAAATACTGTTTTTACACCACATCTTCTTAATCTTTATCTTCATCACAAGCCTGAGACACAGCAGGCATTCAATAAATGTTGTTTTCCCCTTCCTTTGGTAATTATAACAACATAACCTTCCATAAGAAGAAAACTAGAAGGCAAAACTGAGCCTTTAATAATGCTGCATGGTCTGTTGTTCCTACTGGAGAATTCCTCTGAGTCTTTGGATGTTTGAACATCTTTTCTTAGGACCAGATCCCTCATCATACCCTCATTTAATTTCATTGCCTACATAGAAAGGTTTGCCCAGGACTGCTTCTGGGAAGGGTTTGGAAGGGGGGTAGGGAAA